GACTGGCGGGACTTTTGTGAATTTTCGTGAGTTCGTTGTTCCGGGCTGTTGGCGAAGATGATATAGAAATAATGTTTACGCTGATTTGGTATGAGGTTTTAATATAAAAGCGACACAATGATTAACATAAAATACAAAATGTGTTGAGAATCGTACAGTTAAACTAAGACTCGCAATATTTNAGGTTTTAATATAAAAGCGACACAATGATTAACATAAAATACAAAATGTGTTGAGAATCGTACAGTTAAACTAAGACTCGCAATATTTTACTGGTCGTCGTCGCGCGCGCTGAGGGCGTGTGTTTTCGCGCTCAGAGAGCTCTGTCTCAGCGGGCGGTAAGGCGGCGGCGGGGGCGGTATCGCACGTTCGAAAATTACGTTCCGTTATAATAGGTAGTTAAATTATTTGTACAATTTCCTTGAAGTTGGCACCATCACGTCCCATTTTAATGCATTTTTATCATTTCAATAGCTCATACAATATATTTTAGTCAAGCAGCTTTTAACTAAAATAATTTGTAGTTGTAATTAAACATTCTTTGAAGATGGCACACGGAAACACAAAAAAGTACTTGAAGATAAGTATGTATGTGAGCACCTTATTTGTTTAGTTTACTCATTCCATTACATTACATCATATCACATCCCTTTGTTCTTGATGATTGATATTTTATCTTTCATAACTTTACTTACTGTCTACAACCATTGACACAATGCGTTTAGAAATACGCATAATGAAAAGCCGATAACACATTTTCACTTCACCTTACTCATGCAACTTGTTTGATGTTGTGGAGCGGCTATCGAGGAAGTGAAAGTCGGTCGAAGTCTCGCACGTATACAGACTCGTCGCAATAATATGATAAACGCGGGGTTTCGTTGACTTGCTGCGAACATCTTTAGGTTTTCGTCCAAAATAACGCATCGTGCTAGCATTAATAACGACTGGCGACACGTACATACATAGCACAGGAAAAATAACAGATAAACAAGTGTGGAACGTGCCGCGTCACCGGCTTACGGGCGGGGGCATGCATGCGATAGTTCACGATGGTTGCAACGACATCGATCGCGCACGCCCCGCGCCTTGTCAACGCTACGATAATGTTCATTGGTCGGCCGGCGTTGTCACGTGACCGGCGCGCTCGCTACCCATTGGCCGGCGGCGGCAGCGGCCACGTGAGCGGCACCGGGCCCGCGTGCCAGTCGCGGCGTGACAGCGGGCGCGCCGGGACCGCGCGCGCCTGCCGCGGTCGACATGAGCCTCCTCGACACGCTACTCGAGGCGGCGCGGTACATCGAGCTCCAGGAGCGGCGCCTGCAGGCCGGTGAGTAGCCCGCGCCGGCTGCGTGTGGCGCCGCGCCCCACGCTCTTGACCTTGAGTGGCACGCGGTCGGCGTCCCCCGCGCGCTCCCGGCTCGCCTCGCCCCGCGTAAACAAAGAAAGCCTGAAATTCACTCGCAGAACGCCACGCGTCGCACGTTCCCCTCTATTCGTACACGCAGAATTGGCCGTGGCTCATAAGGGCTCGTTGTATCGAACTTCGTATCAATTGGCGGTCTAATTAATATTATGAGTCCGAGCGGCGAAAGAGAACTCATCGCTCGGCACTTGCTGGTGGTGCGAGTGGGCGGCGGTGTGTACGTGGAGTCGTGACGCACCGGCGCGGCGAGCAGGGGGCGCTGGAGAGTTCGGTCAGCTGATCGCAGGGAGGGGGCGCCGGCAGCGGGGGGCGCGGGACGTGTGCACGCGCAACGCCCGGTGGCTCGCTCTGCATTTTGATGTTCATAATAACTTGTCATCCTCAGGACGATACGAATTTTAGAATCTGTATGTAAACTGACTAGAGGAAAAACTGGCACAAGGCGGGGTTGCGTAACGGTGCGTGCTGCCTCGCGCCGGCCATTGTTCGTGATGGACTCGTTGCCTCGGTGTGCACTATCGAAACTCGCGATAAACGGTACCATTTACAACGCGCCATTGTGACCGCCCGTGACGCCACATCATTATCAAAGCAGCACCTCACACAAATGTATGACCGATAACACGATCAGGGCACTTTTTCCTATTTTGTTTATATGTTCAACTCGGTTCCACCATGACGCTAAAATCAATGAAATAGAAATCGCCTTCGAATAAGCAGCGAGAGTGTAGCAAAGAAAAAAAGGGTCGCACGATGAAACAAAATTGATTGCCCCTTTGAATGTTTAATAATTTAAGTAGTAAGTACATTTTAACAGAAACAAGATCCGCTGAACTCAGATGATTTCAATCTTAATTACCGCTCTAAGAAGATTCTTGTTAAAGAAATAACAGGGAATAAATTGACAGCTATATTTAAAAAATTAAGAATATGAAATTTTGCTAGTCTAAAACGACTTTAAATCTTCAGCTTGGGAATTATTTTGTGGTTAAAACCAAATAATACATTGCACATTCATTCTTGTACAACGCACACAAATAACTTTTTCAATCGTTACCTACACGATTTTCTCTTCGTCGGAAATATACTTGACAATTCATTAAGATTACAACCAACCAATTGAAGCAAGCTAATAAAACATTATTTAAACGAAATCATTAAAAACCTATTCAAGAGTCGGTATCGCGTTAAACTAAAACGAAAAACCTGAAGAACATTAAACAAAACAAAACTAAAAACTACTAATACCAGCTATTCGCTGTGATTTCCTAAACACGAGCCGAGCTCGCCTGTGAAACGAAAACCGCGTTATCGTGTTTGTTCGACACTTATCAACTATCGCCGGTTTTACTGAGCTTTTGATAGCGCTGACCGCCGTAACGTAAAAGAGAAGATATGTATAAAATACAAGTATGTTTTCACTTTATCGTAGCCCACTGAGTTTCTCGCCGGATCTCCTCAGTCGCGATTCCGAACCGGTGGTAGATTCTAAGAAGCACTCCTCTTGCTAGGGCCGGTGTTAGCAACACTCCGGTTTGAACCACGAGAGCTCACCTACACGCAAGGGTAAAGCTGAAATAGCCTCTCAAGGCTATCAGCAAAGGTAGGAAAAAAAACTTGATCGTTTGTGGGGTTCAGTTGATTACTTCAGTAGCTACATTTATACTGACAGCTTGACAAAATGCAGGAATTAATAGCATCAGTTCCGAGGATCTTATGATATCATTCGGTCCGCCTAATATGGCCTGGTCGTCCATTGTTGAAATTTACCAATTTTCTAACCCAATGCCCTGCAATAAAGTTATTATATTATGCACTCGCGGAAACTAACTGATTTAATAACAAGTAAGGCATATTTAAAACGAGATTCTGGACTACTATGTCTAGTCTAAATGTTTGGTATTGTCTAGCTTTTACCTCGAAGTTGTTCTTTTAATCTGCTAACTTTAAGGTATTTGGTATAAGTTTGTTATCCGCATTTCATTAAACACATTAATTGTAACAGAAATATTACATAAAGATACGTATTTCATTAAACACATTAATTATAGAAATATGTATTACATAAAGGAGCAAAATCTTAATAGAGTTATAGAAATAAAGTAAACGTAGAACTTTAAACTGAGTATAATTTACATATCAGAAAAGTGAGTATATATTTGAAAACTCTAACATAAAATTATAATAAAAAAAACTATCAAATCGTTATCCGAGAAGATAACTTATTTCATCAGACGTTGTATTCACGAATACTATTTTTAGCGAAAATCTTCTTCAAACTAAAACTAGAAAGTTTGCCCAGACTTCAATTTGCATATAGTATAGTTGAACAGGTCGGTATCGATGGCGATACGACTTCCACCTGTTGACATTAACTTTATTGAAATGAGTTAACAAGTTGTTGCTTTGAATCGAGCCTCGCAATCAATCAACATGGACTCGGGTTATGACAAAATTAGAAAATCTTAGATAGAGAATTTAGTATTTAGGTCTCACGATTTTTTTTTATTGCCCTTCTAGGCAAACTAGCATACGACCGACCTGATGGTGAGTGGTTACCGTTGGCCTTGGACTTCAGCAATGCCAGGGGCAGACTCAAGCCGCTGCCTACCGTTAAAATATGACACGAGCCTTTCAACTGAATGACGTAAATTTTAAGTTAATTAGAACTTAGGTTTTATCAAGCATTGAAAAGAGGTTCATTGTAATTAATCCTCAAACCGAAACAATGTGCTTACATAGTAGTATTGTTGTTTTATGCCCAGAATCGTAATGCGCAGTTAGCAGACGCTACGCGCCTAATTGCCGTCGGATAGGCAGGCGGGGTAAGCGCTGAACAATCGCGTCAACAAGGCTTGCGTGAGGTCGCTCCGCCACCGCGCCGGTGAAAGGGACCGACCTCGGCATCCGCCTGAGGACGCGCACTCGGCCGCGGCGTGTTTGTACCCCGCACGACAGGACCGTCGTCGCTCAGGCGATTGTTTGTGCGCGTCGCCCGACCACGCACCGCGGCGGCGGCTTCTGTTCCGCCCGTGTGTGCGAGTACACGTCATTCTCTTTAGTTTAACTGGAATTATCGCGACGCGGTCGTGTGCTCGTATTTGTGCCTTTCCAGATGCAAGTATTTTAGTTGCGAACGCATTAAGAATCGTATTCCTATCGAGACTATCGTTTGAGTATTGTGAAATTGGTATTCGATATTTATTTTGTGCTGTAGGCTTATGTAAGGAACTGTTTGTGATACGCTATCAGTTCTGGTGAGAGACAGTGGATCGTCAAACGTCGAAGTACTCAATATAGATAAGATATCCCATTTCGAATGTACTCTTTAGTGTTTTCAAGTAAATAACATTATGCTGTTTGCAAATTACGTTTCTGTCTTTCTAATCGTATATTTCCTTCCAGTTGGCAACCAATTAAGTAATAGGATATGTCTTTAAGATAGTTTATCAAGTTTTCTAATATGCATTTGTTAATGTTTCTTTTCTGTTACTTTTATAATTTAATCAATAGCTTTTTGTAAGAAAACTTTCATAACCGTCTTACAACAAATTGCTCAAGTTACACGAATCATCATTAGAGGAATCTTAATCATAATTAAGACACCATATCATTTTGGTTTGGTTTAGGCCAGTAACCGCGTTCATACGGTACATCACTCTTTCTAATTATCGGGTTCTTAGCAATATTTAGAGGTAAAAAAAATGGAGTATCCAAGTATACGATTTGGAATTCTGCACGCTTTCGTTCGCGCAACCGGTACCCTGTCTTTAAAGGCACAATTATACATGTTCTCATTTCTTTATTTGGCCGCATCGATGGAGCAACCTTCAACAATGAATGATGAAACTCGTACAATAATTGATGAACAACGCACGTAAATACTTTGTGTCTTTGTTTATAACGTGATTTAGGGGTAGGTCCTAACTCTCTGCTCGGTGTTGTTTGATTCTGTAATGTTTTTAGAAGTAGCCGTTTATTTTTTTGGACGGCATCGTTTTGATTTAGTCTCATTGTGTACATAGGTTGCATAAATCACAAAGCTTTCGCGCGCCGCCGAGTCATATCTCGGCATCCGGTGGGTGGAGTCCCCTCACTGTTTCCACTCCCAAGTCCGTGTTTCGTGTTTTAACATCGATTGCACATCGTTTTATTCATTTCCTCTATTAAGCTTTCAACAAAATCGCTCCTGTTTTTTTATATATTTCACGCAAAATATCTAAGTATATCATTTTTAATAACTTAGAAGATGCGAATTCACAATCGAGATGCACTTTTGCAAGTTTCGTACGCGAATACGGCTTTTGGCTTCGAGATTCCAGAAATAGAATCTGGCCACTGACGGGTCGCGTCGCAATAACCTGCTAAACCGGCAGGTGTGGTTGCTAAAGGCACGAGGGGGGAAGACGATTGCGTGGAGTTCCCCGAGGGAGGGGGGTACTGGGGCAAGCAAAGAGCTGTGGGGGGAAGTGTTGTCGGTCGGACTGCACGTTGCACCGCGTCAAGGTCAGCCGCCGCACGCATGCGCCACCCCTCCCCCCGCCCAGCCTCTTATCGGAACCTGCAACCGAGTCTTGCACTGAGACTCCCCGCACCCCCGATTGAAACTTTGAGTGAAGTATTAAAATAAATAAAAAATGTAAGCTACCGACACGACTAGGCGACTGTTGTCTTATAATTCCAGACCTAGCTACCTCTTCTGCGGGTACAAGGGCAGGCATGTGCGGACAACAATGAACATCGAACCAAATTCGACGCGGCTTCCGTAAAATCGGCCCATATTCTGTTTATCGGCACCGGTAGATCTCTTTGTTTCGATTTATAATATGAACGAATCAAAGTTTTCAGCTCGCATGAATAATTTCGAGTGTTTATGGGAGGTGATAGCGTGCACAGCCCCTATTTTAGTTTCATAAAATATCTTACAAACATCGAAAATAGTACATAATAGGTATTGTGTGTGTGTGAGCAGTAATCTCGCGGTTCAGCTACCACGTGCAGGCGACGCGGCGGCGCGCATAGCCTCTGTCGACAAGTGCGCCATCAAACGTACACACGAGAAATCCTATTAGGAAGATTAGTGCTGATGACGCAAGCAGAATTACTTCATTAACGGCGAGGCGGGGTCAAAACTAGATTTCGACGATTTCTAATGCGCGTATTCCGCGCGTACCTATTGCATTATATTTACCGTTCGACTAGAAACGACCTGTATTTAGTCGATGTTCGAGGCTGTTTGAGAAGTCTGACGATTTGTTACACTATGCGATGCGATTACGAACTACCAAATCGAACTCGTAATCTGCGTTCGTTACTTCTATTGTAGTACGCGCTCCGGAGTGAGGTTGTTCGGCGGCGTTGCGCCACGCACGGTCCTCAGAAAGCTGAACTGTCTCGTGCGTGAGGAGAGCGGCCGCAAAAAGGTGCACTAGTTTTGTTCGGTTGCAGTGTTCCATTCACCTTATCCGGCGTGGTCGAGGTTCAGTGACTCCGGCGGCTGCTCGTCGGCGCGCGACATCTGCGTGCTAATGTTGCGGTTTCATCACCTACGTTCGATCGGCGCGAGCCTCTCGGTATTCCGTGAGCGTAGAGCGCGGCGGACGGTCCGACCTCGTTTCGTGCAGCGTTATGTAAAGCGCGGAGAGAGGTGCAGCGGCGAGCGTCGCGGCCGACCGCGTGCTGGCTCCCCGCGCCCCGCCCCCTCGCGATTTCGTTCTAGTGACGGCGCGGGGCTGCGGAGGTCGCGCACCTCCCGCCTCCCCCGCCCGCCGAGACCTGCCGAGCCGGCTCGCCGATGCTTCAGTCGTCGAGCGGATCGCGTCGGCGGCGGTTGGGTCGATCGCGGCTCTATCCAGCTGGTCCGACACGCCGGCTCCGGTTCGGCTCGCGTGTTCGCTTCGTTCCGCGCTTCCGATTCGGGAGGTCCGCAGTGTTGAGCGGTTGCGTTTGCGTCGGTCACGAACGGAGCTGAGGACGGGTGTTCGAAATAGCGTGCGTTATCATGACGACCTCGAGTGTCGCGACGAGATAGCGCGAGGTCGGCGGCACCTGCGCCCAGCCCCACGTGCCCGCCGCACCGCCTGCCTCGTGCTGTCCCGTCTCCGGACCGTCTGCACCTTTGTTCCCACTTATTCATCGCTTATGACTTTATCAAACATTATCAAAGGACCATAAAATCCTTTATATTTTCTAACATGTAGTTAGCGTCAGTAAGCTCTCTATTTATTAATAATAAGTGTAAATATGGCGACGATATTAATTCAAAATTTAGTCGTTATTCTTGGCTTGTCCCTACAAAGATTTCAGTCAAATAATTTTATGAAATGATCTTCGAAGCACGTGCCAGACGTGGTCCCATCCACGGCTATAGGTCGCTGGGTAGCCTAAGGTCGTATAACTTGGTTTAATTATAATGTGATTGTTGTTAAAGCTCGCCGTTATGGAATAGATCGGCCCGGCACGATTTTACGGACTCGCTCCGTCGATACGTCATAGTATTCTTTAGCTGAGTAGGCTCATACAGTGCCGTAAATTTTCTGGAAGGGACCAGTAACGTTCGCCAGAAAAGAATGAAAAACAACAAAAAACCTTAAATATTCCGATCGGGCAATGTTTAACGAATTAAACATTAATTACAATTACTTTTAAGCTTTAATCTCGCCACAATTATCTTCTTTAAATTATCTCCGATGTTTTCAATACTGTAGTTGTAGTGGTCACGGACGAATAATAATAGTAGGTAATATTTATTAAATTTCATTATTTTATTTGGATATGTACAGATTTTAATCATCCGTTAAGTTTTTTTTTCAACTAGTGTCATACATTTTACTTTTATGTTATTTGTGAGCTCGATGACTTATTTTTAGGTTAGGTTAGGTTAGATAAAATTTAAAAATCTGCTCTAAATTATTCCAGATCTCTTTTCTATTTTGTATTCATTGTGCTAGTCAAGGCCACTAGTTTCCCGCAATATATACCTTTGTGATGTAGGCATTCCCAATAACTATTATATTTAAAAAAAACTTACTAATCGAGTTTTTTTTATATATTTTTTTTATTGGTTAGATGGGTAGACGAGCTTACGGCCAATCTGGTATTAATTGGTTACTAGAGCCCATAGACATTTACAACGTAAATGCCGCCTCCCACCTCGAGATATGAGTTCTAAAAGCTCAGTTTTACAGTACAACGACTGCCTCGCCCTTAAAACCGAAACGCGTTACTGCTTCCTGTGCGGACTCACAAGACGTCCTACCAACAGTAATATTTGGTTGAGATCTGACGCAAATCATAGGTGAAATAATTTAATTAACACTCATTAGGATTTTTGCTGAATCAGATAATAATAATAAAAAATGCAGAAACAACACATATTTAAAACCTTTTTTTTAAACACTGCAATAGATTATAAACAAAGAAACCACACTCATTCGTAATAATTTAACTGCTCAAGTAAATTTTGAGAACCGCAGATTTAGGTAGATCACATGATCCTGTTTGGTACACCCAATAGATGGCGTTGAAGCCGCTAAACTTGACGCGCAAAAGATCAATACCTAATTATTTAATAAAAAGTATCAAAACAATTTTTTTCTCATGCGTATATTGTGTTCCCGTAATTGCGAATATGAGAAAATTTATGCATTTGAGACTTCTATCATGTCAAGTCTCAAAAGACGAGCGGCGTGTACGCTGGCTCCGTTCCGTAGGTATTTGAAAATAGAAATGCAGAATGAACAAAATAAATTATTAAAAATAAAATATCGTCCCTTCTTTTTGATCTTTTTCGTGAAAACTCTAAGGCATAGGTTTTTAATTCCGCTATTCCAATTAACAATAAAAAAAAATCCGTATCTCGAATGTTATTCGAGTGTTAATATTCGATTTACATGTTTATTTTAAAATCGTTTTCTATAATCGATATTTTAATATTGCAATTTTTTTTCTTCTATTTCTCATAACGATTTTATAAATTCGTCGTGTTCATAAATGAATTTTGCTTCAGTAATCAGAATTCCGTGATCGGGATTGATAATAACGAATAAGGATTGAGTGATACTATTTATCCTTGTAATAAAGTAGACTCTGTGGAAATAAATTGTAGAGGACATATAAACGAGCATGAACAACCCTAAAGGACTTACTTACTCCCTACCCTAAGGGACTTACTCCCTTTCACACCCGAAGGCTGCCGTCCTGTGCGTCAATAATCACTGATTTGGAAATACATAAATACATACTTTTGTAAACTTATCGAATCTTTTCTATTTTAGATTCTTATTTCTATAATAGAATAAGGTTCTATTTCAAATCCTTATTCAAGTTACAAAACCTTTTGATGTGATTCCCGATGGAATGTAATTTTAATTTAATCTTTTGTTAATTTTTGTGGTAATAGTTATTGTGAAAAAAGTAAAACTAATTTTTCTTAACGAAAATGACGGAAACAGATGCGTCAGTCGTTTTTCATTATCTACGTAAATGAAGAGGCGGAAGAGCCAGCCAGTTAGATTTCAGATTTTTCAAATTCAAATACATTTTTATCAGTTTAGTTGCACAACTGTGTTGTTGTTTAATAGTTTTTGTGTTATTTAAAACATTAATTTTTTATACACTACATCTAAATAATGTTTTGGGATGAACATTTCTAGAAATCGGAACAAAAGTACTAGGAGCTCAAAACTGAACTTGAACTTTTCAGCATTAAATAATTGAATATTCAAATTCGCGTGATTGATAATATCGATACGTAGTTCACCGTGCTCACCGGCCCTCACTGATTAAACATGAGTGTTACCGTTTCTGAAGTACTGACCATAGTTCACATAACTTTAAGTAGTTGACATGTTAGATTCGACAGATTAAATAAAAATAAACCGAACACACACTATTATTTAATTTAAAAAACCCATTTCGAATTAACACAAACAGGAAATCTCAATTCAGTTGATTCTAGAAAAATCCGAGTTTCGGTTTATAAGCAATCGCACTGGCATGTACGAACTGTGTTTTTACACTACAATAGTAGACGTAACTACGTAATTGCAATTACGTAATATGTATAAACACAGGCACGTGCCGTTTCATCTCTAAAACTTTGCATGGTCTGTGTACTTCACACGAACTTCCCTCACTTAATTTTTGTACATAATGTCTTTATTGACCTTCTGCTGATTATGGGTTCCTGGTGCTCGGATTTATTTTTTGATTTCCTTTTTTACAAATTGGCAAAGAAAAATAAATTAATTTTATATGCGCATGCATAGTTTAATCATCATCCAACCAGTTGGATCGATCAATTCTTCAGTGGTATATCGCGTTCTGCTCAGGTCCCACGGCGTTGCTAGTACGCCAACATAAAATCTATCCCCTCAACAAAAATATGAAATTGCAACCTTGTTAAATATGTATTTTATCCCTTTTTATGTTGTTCGAGGTTTGCATTGAAAAGATGACCCCAGTTGAGACTATTTTTAGATAATTTATCATAATGCTTATTGACTTTAAACTAAATTGGTTAAATTGAGGGACAGCACTTTGTACTGTAAAATTAATAAATATTTACAGTAAAATCAACAGAGAAAACCAGGAAGGAAACTTGTCTCGGTTTTATTTGTTTTTGTTCTAAAATCCACAATGTCTGCCAATTCGGTCGGCTGGTCTACCAGGGTCGCATGGTGTGGGTAGAAGTTCTTTTGAATGTCAGTCTGCGTCGGCGGGGCGGAGGGGCGCGGAGGTGATTGCACGTGCCAGAGACGCGCCATGCGTTCGGCGCCCCCCGCACTTGTTGAGCGCCTCGCCACAGACCTCGCTTCACATCACCCGCTCGCCGCTCTCCAAACAAACTAGTTTCCTTACACACGCAGTCTCATTATTGTCAGCAAATATACGGTCACTAAGAGACTCGTCCCACAGAATACTTATTTAATTTCGCTTATCAATGATGCCGCTGCGCAATCGGGCACGAGAAAAAAATCGATATTTTTTGTTACAATGTAATTGTTAATAATCGATTCAACCTAACCAATTTTAATTTCAAGGGATAATTACGATTTGTTTTCGAAGAATGACTGTACACTGAATTAGTAGGGTTTCACCGAATTTAGTTACTACTCTTTTCTGTAGATGTATGTCACGGATGGATTGCGCAAACGCTCTGCAATACGTCACTCGCTTCGTAATGAAAAGCCAAATCGGTCGTAATTTTTGTATTAAATTGAAAGAAGACTTTTTTAGGCGACATTTTCTGATCAACAGATCGCAAACGCATTCGCTCAACAAATTTATATTTTTTTTTAGTACAGCCAACATTTCGATTATGATATAGTGAGGGGTTCAACAAGAACTCTGTGTAGTTAAGTGACAAAGACAGTGTGTGAGAACTATGAGGACCCATAAGCGCAGCTAACGATCGGTTGCCCATCGTAGAATGGGTATACTCATGGAGACGACGGAAGTGAACCTGGGCAGCGGGTACAAGCGAGCGCGCGAAGTCAGCACCATGGGGACACCCGGCGAATACTACGCGGACACGTTCCACACCATCGCCATCAATACCAGGGAGACAGAGTTCGGAAGCATTGTCGAACCAATTCCGATCATGCTCAAAGCCTACAAGTACGCTCCGCACGGCCACCCGGCTAATGGTTACGGTTCCCCGCAAACCACAGCTCCTATTAACCCTGTCCCCCGGCTACTCCCGGAGGCAACACCAACATCGGCCTTCGCCCCGATTATTTACAAAAAGGAAGAGATAAAAACAGAGAAGGTTCGACCTCCACCAAAAAAGAAATGGATTAGAGAATATTTAGGTAAGTTTGGATACCTGCTATCATAGATTATACACTTAATATATTTGAGACCTGCTATAATCGTTCGTAATTTGATAAAGTTGTACACGACGACGCATGCTAGACGCTAGATTTGTCGGCCTCTGTCTGACCTCGGCGTCATGATTTCGTTCATCGCCGACCAAGAACACGTCTGTCGCGGACCTGTCACGACAGGACCTTTATTTACAAGTGTTATCATAATGTTAACGGATAATTGTACACGGTACTCTCTAATAAAGGCTATCATCTATCCTATTACGGGTGCTTAACTTCAAATTACTAACTAAATTGAAAGCTGCGCTGTATACTATGTATAACAGAAATAACAGAATTACCCTTAGACTTAATGTAAAATACAGGTCATTACCGATGTCATAGGTATATTTATATGTATTTATTTTTCTTTATTATTTAATGTGTCTAAAGATTTGATCTATTTTGATACATCACTCTTTCATCGCAACATATCTTTCGTATGTTTTTCCAGAATTTGTCTAGATGAATACGGTGGCTTAGAAAAGACCGCCTTATATAATTTATAACTGCCTGTTGAGTGATTTTCAATGTTAATTATTCTTTGGTGTGCAATAAATTATACTCTCTCAGATTCGGTGCCAATTCGCGATGAGATTTCGGCTGTGGGCACTTATAACAGAAATAACAAAATCTGTAAAATATTATAAGCGAGTTCGTGATGTTGACAATTTTTATATCGATTTACGAATTAATTTTACTTCCCTATTCCTTAATGAGTTCAGCGTATATCTGCATTCTAGAAGTTTCGATTGCCGTGTAATTTATATAATAATATATTGCTTAGAAAATTCTCAAAGGTCTAAACACGTCTAATAGAAGATCTAACTGGTTTTATAAAAATATTACGGATTCATTATCTTTATTTACATTCAATTTATAATTAAAATTGATTGATTACAAATTAGTTTAAGTTTATCTAAAGAATAAAGGCGCCAAGTTTTAAGACGAGATCAATAGCTACCAGGGTAACATAGACAGCGAGAGGTACGAATGAAACGTGTGAGGGCGTTGAATGTAAAGGTCTGTCACCAAGGTGGCGCAGTCAAGGTCGTTAACGTAACGCAGCGTGACATGTGTAATAAGCCCGTCAATATTTCACAGGCGGTTTAGGCGCCAAACACTTTCTGTTTTATTTAGATTGAGTACATGCTTAATTCGATTATAATGTTCGTCAATTTCTATGAGTGTAACGTTAAATGAATGTATCTGTTCATTGATTTTGATAAACTAAAGAGGAAATTTTAAATTGACGTCGTCGGATTTAAGGTTCTCATTTACGTTTAGTAGGTATATAGAGTGAGTTTTTGATCGTACGTTATAAATTTAAAAGCAGATAAACGAAAAGAAAAACATACAAGATCGAACAAACAAGATTACGTTGGGCCGTGCTCAGCGAAAACAAAACGAGATAATTATGAGCAGCGTCCTTGTCTATTAGGGTGACCAAGCTTTTATTTTTATTTTATTTTTTATCTCACAGATGGGTGGTCGAGCTCACAACCCACCTGCTGTTAAGTGGTTACTGGAGCTCATAGACATATACAAAGGTGAATGCCGCCACCTACCTTGAGATATATATGTGTTCTAAGGTCTCAGTATAGTTACAACGGCTGCACCACCCTTCAAACCGAAACGCATTACTGCTTCACGGCAGAAATAGGCAGGGTGGTGGTACCTACCCGTGCGGACTCACAAGAGGTCCTGCCACCACTTATTTTGGTTAATAAAACAACCTGTTTCGGATAAAATTGGAAAATTTGATTCAGGTTTGATGTTAGTATATGAAGCCAGTGCAATCAGGGCACACTTTGCTGTCGATTTCTTGCTATAATATTCGACACATTTACAAGTCGTTAAAAATTTTTGGTAGTTTTTTTGCTGTCATGGATGAACGATCTAACTGCCCACCAAGTGTGTGGTTACCATAGCGCATGGATAATACAACGTGAAAGTGGATACCGTCCACGACACCACTATACATTTTAGAATCTTGAAATGCTATCAACAATTTACACTCTCTACATCAAACAACAGGCAGCGGCTTGGCTCTGCCCCTGGCATTACTGATGTCGATGAGCGACGCTAACCTCTCACCATCATATGGGACATATGATCGTCTGCATATAAGGGCAATAACAAAAACAACAAAAGATTTCAACTCAAAATTTCAACAAAACCAAAAACATCACAAGTAAATTTTTATTATTTACTGGTGGTAGGACCTCTTGTGAGTCCGCGCGGGTAGGTACCACCGCCCCGCCTATTTCTGCCGTGAAGCAGTAATGCGTTTCGGTCTGAAGGGTAGGGCAGCCGTTGTAACTATACTGAGATCTTAGAACTTATATCTCAAGGTGGGTGACGCATTTACGTTGTAGATGTCTATGGGCTCCAGTAACCACTTAACNCTCTTGTGAGTCCGCGCGGGTAGGTACCACCGCCCCGCCTATTTCTGCCGTGAAGCAGTAATGCGTTTCGGTCTGAAGGGTAGGGCAGCCGTTGTAACTATACTGAGATCTTAGAACTTATATCTCAAGGTGGGTGACGCATTTACGTTGTAGATGTCTATGGGCTCCAGTAACCACTTAACACCAGGTGGGCTGTGAGCTCGTTCGCCAATCTAAGCAATAAAAAAAAAGAATTTGTTAGTCACACAATACAACTCACAAGCTAAAAAGATACATAAAAAACACAAGTAAAAAGAAACAAAATCTGGCTTGCAACATAAAGCTATGTGCGCACGACTAAACAAGATAAAGTGCTGAATTCGTAAATTATTAATTAAATTATACAAAGAAGAAGAAGAATTCGTAACTTATTGTCACCCTAGCACCCGGCAGCTTGACTACGAACAGGAACGTCATCAAGTTTACGATTTCCCACTGTCCTGGTATTTATCTCTAGAAATATAAACCTTAATTCCTCAACTAGAAGGGTTGTTTTCAAATGAAAGTCGATTGTAATGAATTTAGTTTTAGTAAGTTCGCTTATGAGCTGATAGTTTCAAGAACATAATTATTATTACCCCCTACCTAGTACTACAGGAAAAAAGTTGCAGATAGGAACAGTAAGATAGAGGATACATTTAGATCTCTTCATTTTAAGTTATATATTTGTTTGTATATTTCTACTTTTTGCATATCGCACGCATAGAGACAGACTTCTACAATTTTATACAGATAGTAAGTAATCCGGCCACCGCCCTCGTCGAACCCGTCGCTTGCGACGAAGGGCTCGACGAGCGAATTAATCCATGACACAACCCACTGAGTTGCTCGCCGGATCTTCTCAGTGGGTCGCGTTCCCGATCGGATGGTAGATTCTGCGAAGCACTGCTCTTGTTAGGGCCAGTGCTAGCAACACTCTGGTTTGAGCCCCGTGAGCTCACCTACATGTTAGGGCGAAGCTGAAATAGCCTCTCAAGGCGATCAGTATAAGTAGGAAAAAAAAGTAATATAAATGCCGAATTCATAAACATATAATATTCTCAGAGCATTCGGTTAAAATATGCAAAGCAATTACAAAGCGCCAGTAATTATGCAGTTTCAAGGACGATATATACTGAGACGATTTATCTAAATATTATCTACTTATAGAAGCCATTGTCGGTCGGCCTCAGAGATGTCGAGACTCACAAACAAAAACTTGTCCGAATCAAGAAACTTGTCAATCATTTAAGTTTAGTTTTTGTATACATTAATAGTAAAATATTTTGATTATAATAAATATTGTGGTCACGAACTTATAAATCTGTTCTAGAATGTTAGTTTTAAAACACATGGTGTGTAAATATGTAGATAGAAACAAGAATAGCCTAGTATTGTAATGTAAACGCGGTTGTCAAACGATTGCTTATGTCCAGTTTTACAAGAAATATCAGTAAAAAATTCAGTTTTACTGGTTTCTATGAGCTCCGGTAATCAATTAATTTTTTATTTATTTATTTATTTATTCCATTCAATACAAAGTCAGGCTTACAGTTTTCACTAAAACGCCTGACTCGTTAACACAAAAACATTAATGAAATTATTAAGTACTGTTATAATATTATGCTAAAAATTAAATTATTTTGGAATAAAGTATTCCCCAACTATCGGCAAATACGTCAGCATCCTGGATTTCGGACAGAAATTCGTTTAACAGCGCAATTGCCCTGGCCGTTGGACAGTTCCTGGCTCTACGGGTCCTCAGCCTCGCCAACGCCGCAAATAAGTGGTGGTGGCGGCGCACTCCCGCCCGCGCATTAACACCGGGTCTACCTATTTGCTATTCCCTGGTAGCTTATGGGGTTATGCCAGCGTTGACAGTAATTATGGTCGAATTTATATCACCGGGCGAAAGCTAGTGGAATAAATGAGGTATTCTTTTATTTTGGGAGGAGGTTATTAAGCAGCGGCTTGACTCTGCCCCTGGCATTGCTCAAGTCCATGGGCGACGGTAACCGTTCACCATCGGTTGAGCCTTATGATCGTCTCCCTACAAGAGCAATGAAATAAAAAAAACATATTTCATGAGTCCGCGATAGACGATCTTAAACGAACAAAATTGGCTAATGAAATTTTTAATTACTAGAGTTTTCTACTTCGTAATGTGTAAAATAGTTGAAAAATAATGGATCTCTCGTACGGTCGATAGTCTTTCGTGACGCGGCGCCCAGCGGCGGTCAGGAGCTTCATTGCTTGTATAATACGTCATATTGAAATGAAATTGCGATAAGAAAGTATTTAATTTTGTATTAATCAACTCTCCACTCTCCGGCAATAAGTATCTATCTCCATACTTACCACTGAGTCGGGTTTACGTACTTTTTAGCTTTTCCAATAACTAATTGAAAAATGTTTCAATTAATTAAGAATAAATAAATCAAAGAGAGAAAGAATTGTGCAATATTAAAGTTTTTATTTTTAAGTACCAGGACATCATAAAACCACGAAGTTAATGTAGAA